ATAGTAGTCAGCGGCTACTTTCCCATCACACTTGCAAAAAACTGGACATACTGTGGGCCCCTGCAATATACAAACATGAAAAATTTTTAAAAGTGTTCTTAGATTCAGCAATAGCATTAAGGATATATTTAATTAATTCAAAATTAAAATTTGTAATGACTTCATGCTTCATCACAAAAGTGAGGTTCCAGAGAACAAAATCATTTCAAAATTCAAACCTAACCTGCAACCCAGACAATGATGGCTGGCTCAATACTTGCCCAGCCACTTCCTCTGCACTTCTGCCCCTCATATTTGCAGTTACCTGTCATACAAAACGCATATAAACAGGAAGAAAGCAAGGAGGAAAAGGAAAAGAAAACCACGAGACTGTAAATCATGAATATCCGTACCATGAACTGACCTAGTGCCCTCAAATGAGCCTCAAATCTTTCAAGAATCTCGTGTGTCGTGTCCAATGCTCCTTTCCGCCGGATTAATGCTTTTCGGCTTGCAATTAGAACAGCCTGAAGAAAAATGGACTATAGAGATCAGGCAAGACATTCTAAAAACAAATCCTTTTAAAATAGCATGCTCCAGACGACAAGATCACATGCTTGAAAGTTGCATGAACAGGAAAAAAGACAGATCTTGTCACCTGGCTTTCCAATACAACTCCACCTTCAATTTCTTTCAAGTTGTTTTCCCTCAGTGTTGTCCCACTACTCACAAGATCCAAAATTGCATCAGCTATTCCCATCTATATTAGCAACAAAGAGAAGTGATTTCTATAAACATCATGAAGACAAATTGAACCATCACTTTTCCAGATTGCTTCATCCAAATCTACAAGTACTAGCACTCATTTTTAAATATCACTTCCTTCAATAAGGTAACAAGTAATAACATTTTGTTCAGTCAAATATCAATTGGGTGAAAGATAGAAAGGGAACTACAGGAAGGTAGAACATTGCAAGGTACATTTAAACATAGTAAATTGAGCTATATCCGAAATCTCAACCATTTTTCATATTTTTACAACATGAACAAGTTCCCTCAACTTTAACAAAAGTGCAGAGTAGCCTTTAGGGTCAACTACCCCAGCCCACCACCCCCCCCCCCCCAAATTGAATAATTCAATTATATGATGGAGTTATTTGTTATGAAGCATCTTTTCAACTACTCATTGCCTGGTAAGCTTCTTTCTCTTCTATCCCCTGGTTTAGTATCTTAGTTTCTACACTAGTCTCATTGCTAAGTCTCTTATTTCTTCATCATTTTGGCATACAGACAACCTCTCTCCCTTTAATCACTCCTTTCTTTTCCAACTTTCCTTTTCATTTTTATCATCTAACCCTGCAACAGGAAAGAAAACCTTTTTTTTTTCTCTCATCACCTATCAAATAAATGCCTACACAATTTAAACTAAAAAATCACACTCCAAAGAAGAGAGAGAGAGATCGGCTAATTACAGTTAATGAATCCAGAAAACAATCTTAAAACTCTTAACCAGTGAAATAATAGCAGAGAAATTAGCTGAGATGTATGAGCAACTACACTCTGAAGTTTCATGCAAATTCAGTTTTCTTCCTTCAGTAAAGCAATAATATGCATGATAAGAAGTGTTCAGTAAGGTCTAACAAAATTAATACACAGAACTGTAGAAGGATGAGCAACCCTCTATTTTAATTTTAAATAACTTCAAAGAAAAAATTAAATTACACGTACTCAGGGAGAATTTAACTCTTACCGCAGGAGCTGCCTCTAAGGCTCCATCAGCAGTTGAAAATATCACATGCTTCAATCCATTTTCTTTCATAAATTTAGGACCAAGCTGTGCAGAAAGACAGAAAATAAATTAAATTCAAATGGAAACTTTCTGTCAAAAAGCTAACCAAAACAGATAGTACAAAAAGAAATTCTGAAAAGTAATATAATTATCAAATATTATTGAAGCGTGTATCATACATAAGTGAAGCCAGTTGCAACTCTTAGAGGTTTCTCAACAGTCCACTGGGGCATCTGGGCTAGCTCCTCCAGTGAATTGATATTCTCAAAGATCCCATACTTAGGAATCTAAAAAAATAAAAATAAAAATCATCATAGCAGGGATATCAGGAAGATGCAGCTGGCTATGTGCTCGTAACAAAGAACACTTACTGCAAGAGATAAACGGCAATCTCCATACTCGAGAGCATCATGAACAATGATAAGATCTTCACTACCCTGATAAACGTATTAAAACAATAAAGTTTTAATCTGCATTCACTTTTCCAAGACCAACTTTTTTCTCTTATCGATAGAAAAGGATAAAACCAGTAATATAATAAACCACAGCACAACCAAGGTCAATTCAAGATAAATCAAACAATAACATATAAGAACTAGTTCTAAGATGACATGGCAAAAATAATCTGCAAGGCTGAAATTCTACATAATACATAACCACTGCATAGAATTAGATATTTTGATTCTTAGTAACATTTTCATAACCACAAAGCCCTAGAAAGGATGCCCTTAGGTCATGTTTGGTGTATAGGATGATGGATAAGATAGGATAATAATGATCCTATATTATATTTGGTTTGTATCTAAGGAAAGGGATAGGATTACAATGATTTTAATCCATAGGATTGAACTTATGTGTCCCTATTATACCCTTAAAAATTACATAAATAACTTAAATTGTATAAACTTTGAGGAAGGATAATTTTAACCAATAAATAAATTATCCTATTCTAATCCTTGCATACATCTAACAAAAGTTATGATGACATTATTTAATTTATTCCTATTCATAATATCATCTTATCCTATCCTATCATAATCTTGTGTACCAAACCCATCCTTAGTCGTTACCTGCCCATATTCACTAACAGTATCAAGCCCCACGATACCTAGATCTAGATCTCCAGATAACAATTTCCGCACAATGTCCTTGGGCCGCTGAAACCAAACTTCTACATTGGAAAGCTGTGAGAAAAACAAATCAAAGATTGAATATCAATCATACATAAAATGATATACAGGTCCCAGTAAAATACATATTGTGAGAGAGGCAAAAACCTGAGGTATTTGTGCAACATATTGCCTAGGATTGACCTGCTTAACCGACAATTGACAATCCTTTTGCCAAAACACAGAAAAATAAATCAAATTTCCAAACAACTAATAAATAAAATAGCTTCGTTTTCTGGTGAACCAAACAGAGGGTTTAACCAGTACCTTGAGTAGATCGAGAGTGTCGTCAGCCATGCGACCTTTGCTAGGCAAGCCGAGACGAATCTCATCCCTTTCAACGATTTTACGATCGATTTTGCCATTGACGACTGCCGTTTGGGACTGTGACGAACAACAAGAGATGAAGCTGCGCTTAGAAACCGATAAGTAGAATGACGAAGAAGGACATGAGATTGAGAAGGCGGAGGTGAATGCGGAGGGGCATTGTTGGAAATACGGCTGCAACAGAGACATTTCTATGGCTGGCCAAACTAAAACCCTAAAACTATCGGTGACAAGCAACCGAGAAAAAAGCCGCCGCAAAATGGAGGGAGATGCTTTGTCTGGTTTCAGATTCCTTTTTCTAGTGTTGCCACTCGACCGTGGAAAGTGAGGTTGTGATTCGATGCGGTCGGAGATATTCTGCTAGATGCACTTGACCACTGATAGAAGGGACAGGCAACCAAAATAGTTTCAGATCTGCCTTCGTTTGCAAATAGACAAATCGCCGCGGTTAAAAAGTATACACCGACTTAAAACAAACAACGAAGCACATAATTATGGCCCACAAAGTAATTATATTCCTATCTTAAAGGTTTATAAAAATAAAAATAATTACATAATTATTTTTATAATTTTCCTTTAAGGGAAATTAAAATATAATTATTATTTTTATAATTTATTTTAATTATTACTCTTTCTACTATTTATAAAATTTCACTTGTGACAATAAATATTCTCTCACACTTTCTTTTTTATTTTGAGAAAACCACAAATTTATTTGTTGAAATAAAAATGATAAAATAATTAAAGAAGTTCACAATCAAAATTAATCATCCATGAGCAATAAATTTGATCATATGATAATACTTAAATTTTAAAAATATAATAATTAAAAAGTACAATAGCAAATTGTATGAATTTAATTTTAGTTTATTTAAGCAAAAGAGAGAGGAAGATCCCCCTCTTCTTTCATTAATCACTACTATAGGAGCAAAGATCAAGGTTAACCTATTTTGAGTTAATTCTATTTCTTCAATGAAAATATGACAATTAAATATAAATTCAAGTTTAAAAACATTTTTTATTCTATTGATGAATGTAAAAAGTGTAAAAAGTATTCATTTGTAAATAAAAATAGGAAATTATTAAAAATAATATTTTAAATTTTGATAAGAAGAAGTTTAAGAATACATTTTAAAAAATGTAAAAAAAAAAATTCAACTTTAGAGTATGTGTAAGTGTGTAAATAAACAAAATTTTCAATAAATTATTTGTGAACGTATTCAATTTTTAATCATTTATATTTATTTATTAAACTTAACAAATAACTTTGTACAATACTTTTTACTTTAATTTATTAAATAAATAAAATATGAATATAAATATAATTGATTTGTTTATATTTTCAAACAAATTCATTTAATATAATAAAAAAATTATATTTTTATCATTTATTATATATTATTTTAAAATTTATTTATATTCATTTAAATTTTGTTTAAATTTATTTGATTATAAATTTTATTATTAATTAATATATTTGTTTACATATATTCTTAAATATATTTGTTTAATATTTATAAATAAATTTATTTAACTTGATCAAATACAAAACTAAACATGAATATTTTATTATTTAAATAAATCAAATTCAAACAAATAAATTTATTTTTTTATTAAATATAAACCAAATCTAAATCATTTTTAAAATAAATAAATAAATCATAAATATATATATATATATCTATTTATTTATATTTTATTCATTTGCGACTCCGAACACATGTAACGACCGCCAATAAATTAACTAGTATAAGATGATGAACGGGGGATAGAAGAAATCTCCCCAAATAACCATCCAAAAAATAATAATAATAATGATAAAAGAGCAAATATGATCGGATCTGCAGCAAGTTCCAAAAAATTATTAATCATTTAATCAAACCCTAGTCGGAGGTGAGTCCATCGAGTATAAAACCCCCACGCCCTCGTCCACGCGCTCTTTCTCTTTCATTCCAACAAACCTCTTCTTCGCAACAAATCACAGCTGTTGTTCTCCTCACCAACTCAGCAAACTCTTGTTTCTTTTAAGCGCCGACGACCAACAACTCTCTTCCTCTCTCCATCCTTTTGTTTTCTTTTTCTCTCTTCAGAGTTGAGATCCACTCCTTCCCCCCAACTCATTCCGCGTCAACCGAGTCAAGATTCTTCCTCACATTATAAATATCCTTCGTATTTTCTTCTTTTTTATTCATCTCATTTTATTCGGATATCATATTTCGCTTAACTTGTTCGACTCAAGACTCACTGGGGTCGAAGATCCGTTAACCGTGTTCTTGTAACTCGGTTCCGGTTTAAACCGACTCCAGGATTGGGTGAAATTGCGATTCCTTTCGAGATCCATGGACTCGTTTTTTAGACCCAATCCGAGTTCAGAGCATATCAAGGATCGAATCGAGTTGTGGTGACATAGAATAGGGTTACCACATCAGAATTAGGGTTTTTGGAAATTTTTTAAACTATAGGTTTAGAGTATGGCGTCTGTGAGAAGATGGAGCGAGGGCATGTCCTCAGATAATGTCAAGGGTTTGGTTTTAGCGCTTTCTTCAAGTTTATTTATTGGGGCAAGTTTCATTGTTAAGAAAAAAGGCTTGAAGAAAGCTGGTGCTTCTGGAATGAGGGCAGGTACTGCAATTTATCAAAGTTTTACTAATAATTTTTCTTCTTTATATTTTGGTGATTAGATTTGGGATTTGTTCAAATTTTGCTGTAGTGGAAAGTAGCAACCAGGGTGTTGTTCAAAATTTGCTGCAGTGGGATTTTTGTTCAATTATTGCAGGGTATTGGGACCCTTTGAATAATAGTTAACTCAATTTAGAAAGTGAAATTGAGTGATCTATAAATGTTGGACATCAATTTGCCTTGGGAATTTAATTAACAAAAAGGGAATTATTCGATTTGAGCTCTTGGCAATCTAGTAAGAAAATTGTTTTGAGAAAAATGATGTTTCTTTTATACATCCTTTTGTAGTTGGGTTTGCTTGGCATCTTTGATTCAACGTCTCTTTACATATTGATTATAAGCTGTTTATGAAATATGGCGATCTGTACAAGTTTGTTTAAGCAAAACTATGCATAATCTGTGAAAGTAATCTATATGTCTTTATTGGATGCAACTGGAGAAAATGATATGCTTGTCCAGATGATTGTTTGTTTTGCATGTATATTTTGTTGATATTGAATACAAATTTTTTCTATTCATGACGTGACTGTGTCTATTGCACAAATTGTTATGTTCCTTTGCAATTAACTCTCGCTCCTTTTTTTTTTATTTACCCTAGTTATCTAAAGAACTCTTGGGATGCATTTGCTATCATTTAGTGCTTCTTAATGTTTTCATTCTTTACGAGAAGTCTTGTTTTGCACTTGTGCATAACACAGTGCCAATGACATTTCTTTTATTGTTTTTTACCTTTTACACAGGAGTTGGAGGGTATTCTTACTTGCTGGAGCCACTTTGGTGGGCAGGCATGATAACAAGTAAGTTTTATGGATTTCTTAGTGATCGTTAACTTAATATTTTATGGATTTTTCATTCCTACTCTTTCTTTATTTGCCTTTTCTCATTTTTCTTCTTTTTCAAATATTATCTCTAAAAAATGATGTTATAAAAGCTAAATTGCTCCTATTCAAATGAGATGATCTTGTCAATGTTTCATTGTGCATCTATAGAAAGATAATTTTCTTAGTTTCATTGCATACTTCATCTTAATGTTTAGGGACTAATCAAACTATGTGGTCTTTTTAAAGTTACTGAGTTGTTTGAGTTGCTTTTGGTTCATGATTCTAGAAGAAAAAGTGGTTAATTCTAATTGGTAATTGTCTTTGCAACAGTGGTCGTGGGGGAAATTGCTAATTTTGCGGCCTATGCATTTGCACCAGCTATCCTGGTCACTCCTCTTGGTGCCCTCAGCATCATTATCAGGCATGGAAATATATCATTCAAATTCAGGTTTGGCCTTTTAGTGTTGCTTGCTAATTATTATTTCTCTTGCAGTGCGGTGCTTGCACATATCATTTTACGGGAAAGGTTACATACTTTTGGGATTCTTGGTTGTGTTTTGTGTGTCGTGGGCTCTACAACAATTGTTTTGCATGCTCCCCCAGAACGTCAGATTGAATCCGTAACAGAAGTTTGGGATCTTGCTACTGAGCCAGGTTGCATTTTGTTAATAATATTGCTCTTAGCTCTGAACATTGTTTTATGTTCAAAATTGTCAAACTGCAAAGAAAGAAAATGATCTTAATTCCTCTTTGATCATTTCGCAGGGTTCCTCTTTTACGCAGCTTTGGTCTTAACAGCTGTCTTTATACTTATATTTCACTTTGTTCCGCAATATGGACAGACACACATAATGGTTTACATTGGAGTTTGCTCTCTTGTGGGTTCCATTTCGGTATGCATCAGTATCAGGCTGTTGGTAACTTAATTTTGTTTGCATTCCAATGGTTTGCCTTATTTACAGATTGTTATTTCTAAGAGAGTTCTTTGACAGGTCATGAGTGTTAAAGCACTTGGTATAGCTTTGAAGTTAACCTTTTCCGGAATGAATCAGCTTGTATATCCGCAAACATGGGCCTTTACTTTAGTTGTGGTTACTTGTGTGCTTACTCAAATGAATTATTTAAACAAGGTAATGGTTACTTGTCTTTTTTCCTTTGCTGCCCTCTCTCTCTCAATGTCTTTCAAGTGACCCTTCAAAGAAAGGAAACAAGAGAGAAATGTGGGGAATGTGAAGAGAAAAAATAATGAGATTCTATCATTTTACTTCAAAGTCTATTTCATCTAAAGTTTTGAACAATTTATAGGAAGGGTATTTTGGAAATTTTCAATTTTAGTAGACTAAATTAACAAACTCGATCACTTTATGGTATAAAATCTATGCTTTTGGATATGCTTGTTCATGGTGTTCTCAATCTTTAGTTTAAATCAGTTGAAATTTATCTATTTATGCTTTTCTTACTCTGAGAAACGTCATCCCCTTACCTTGATTTTGTGTTGCTCGTGTTTGCTGTATTAAGACTTCTTTTCCACACTCTGATTCTTGTTTTTGTCTTCATAATTGCAGGCACTTGATACTTTCAACACAGCAGTTGTTTCTCCGATATACTATGTTATGTTCACATCACTGACCATTTTGGCTAGTGTGATTATGTTTAAGGTAATTTCCTGTCATTTATGGTATCAGAATGGTTCAAAAGTCTTTTAAATTATAATGTTCAGCAGATCTTACTTGATACTCTCTACTGTCATCAACACAAGCCTTTTTCAAACTTTATCTCAATTGATTTGTCTGCAATGTGCAATGAGTTGCTTAATCCTATGCATACCGTGTATGCATTAATAAGTGAAAGGGAATTCTATGTGTAGAAACGTGGATGGTTTTGTCATTCAAAATTTTATGATTGACAATCCCAAGTTTCAATTCCATTGTTCAATTTCATATAGTGACCCTGTTTGTGACTGCTACAATATGAAATTGAACTCGTAGCTTGGTACTGACCCCTTTTTGCTGCTTTGCTTATTTTCTTCTCTATTTCAAAATTAAAATTTTGACTGACTCAATAACTGCTTATGAGTTAGCATTTTTGTTATTTGGATTGACCTTGAATTTAGCTTATTGAAATTTAAATTTCTGTTATCAGGATTGGGATAGGCAGACTCCAACGCAAATTATAACAGAGATGTGTGGATTTGTGACTATCCTTTCAGGAACTTTTCTTCTTCACAAAACCAAGGATATGGTTGATGGTATGTTCTCATGAACCTTGAATTGTGAATTTATTCTCACAAAATCATTCATAATGACCATTGATCTACTCCTTGTTAATGAAGCATGTTGCAGCATTACTTCGTTGAAGCTTTATGTACCTAAGAAATATTTATCTTTTTATTTTTGGTGTTGTAAACATTTAATGAATTATTTTAAATCAGGTCCAAGTTTGACAACATCTTTGTCTATGCGATCGTTAAAGCATGAAGAAGAGGATGGCTTCGGTGAAGGCACCCCTCTTAAGAGGCAGGATTCATTGAGAATACCTTAATTGAAATTTTAGGTCATCACTGCCATTCTACAAAGCACAATAGCTTCTGGGGAGAAGCCTCGCCTGATGTCAACATGTATTTTATGACCAACTTATTCGATCATATACATTTTTTGGATGCAGTTGGATGAGGTGAGATTTTCAGTGGCCCTTTTTCCCTTTGACTTCATGATGCGACCATAGCTTTCAGCTTTTGCCTTGTATACACTATTCCCCCAGCTCATACAGGAAATATGGCCAATGTAATCTTGAGCACAGTGGTTATACAGTGTATCTTTTGCTTTGTTCAGGCAACAATTGGGTGGTGGATTCTTCTCACCATGTGAACTGGGAAGAAAAAAACTCAGAAAAGAATCAAATACATGCATATTTATTGCATTTCTTTATTTGATAATCTCATGTCATTTATTTGAAATGGCGGCTGAAATGCTGACATAAAGTTTCATGACATCTCAAAAAGGCAAAAATTGGCACAGAGAAAGGGGTGGAGGATTGATTTATGGTAAACTTAGTTGATAACAGATTTTTCAAATACATTTACAAAGAATTTGAGGAGTGATTACTCTTCTATTAAGCAACCACCATTTTCAAATCAATATTCTAGAAAGGGTCCCTCTTTTTAACGGATCATTGTAAGGCATGGAGACAATCCATGTTTTTCTAATGTAAGCCCAAATGAGAAGGCAATGCATTTTGTTTCATCAAATTTATATTCTATCAACAAGCGGTAATTAATATCACACCAATGGTTTTGCGCCCTTTCGAACTAGAAAAAGAACCCATCGTTACCTTTGAGAAAGGAAATTATTCTTGGGAAGACAAAGCTTGGATACAGCAAGCCTCTTTCTTTTTGCTCGGCTGCCTGCGCCATCTCTTTGCTTTTTCTGAGTTAATATCTCCCTCTACAGAAAAATCTCAGCTTTGAAATTATGCAAACATTGTCAGCTGAAGAATCCGGTAGAGAGAGAAGCGGCGGCTAAACCGGTTTATTTCCACTTCGAGTTCAACTCTTGAACTTAAACCCACACCGTGACTCAATCAGATTTAAGTAACTTTGGCTCTCAAGTCTTAAAGCGAAGCCCCTGTCTGTAAAAATCCCGAGTGAAAGGCTGAAAGCGCTCTCTTCTTTCTCTCTTTGATTATCAATCGAAAACGATGGAATTTATTAAACCGTTAATTACAATTACTAGAACGAAATTACGACAGGCATCGCTTTTAAGGGCGGATGGTTTTAGAGAAGCCTGTTGTGTTCACTGAGTTATCGTTCGTTGTCGCAGGTTTCTTCTCTCCTCCATTGCTTTCTTTCCACGCTTTGTTTTAGCTGATTAATCACTTCATTTTTACTTTTTTCGGTAACTCAAAATCTAGGTTCTTGAAAAAAAATTATATTTTAGTTTATTTAAATGGTTTTTTTGTCAGGTCGAAAGAGCTTTTGATTCGAACTGGACAGTGTGTTTTCTTTTAAATGGCTTCATTTTCTTAGGAAGGCAATTCCTTTATTAGTATAATGCTTTAGCCGTGACTTCTTTTTTGTTTTTTTTTTTTTTTGTCAGAATTGCTGATTGATAAATGATTATATGTAATTTTGCTTGATTTTGTTTAATTATTTTCAACTTTTTTTTTCAGTTTGTTTGACCTAAACTCGGTTGTTATCCCAATACTACAATGGATATTACCTGATCATTACTCGCAGATCCGTTGTGAAGAAATGTCTGAACTCCATGGCGTCTTAAAATTTTATTCCTTCTTACGTGGCTTACTCGTACAACTATTTTATATTAGTGGTTACAATGGATATAATCTAAACCATTCCATTTTGATGGCATTTAATGATTTTGTACATTAGTTATTGTATCTATATATAGTTTTCATTTTGGTCAGGTACCTTCCCATGTGAATTTCACTTCTCATTTTGCTATAATTCAGATAAAGTTAAGATGCTAATGTTTGGTTTAATGGAATTGGGTTGACTTTTGTTTGATGCAAATCCAAATTAGTCACCACATCTCTCCTGCAAACCCCTCTTCATTTGCAATTTACTATGTCATTTTAATCATTCTGTCCTTCCCCATGATAATATTCTATTTCCATATTCATGATCATATGCAACCATACCATACACTGGTCATTTGCTACTTTCACCAAGACCACCTTCATTACTGCCGTTGCTATCTCATTATTCTCACCATTAACATTGGTTCTGGAACCGTGTCCTCTGTAATTCATCACTACAACCAGCATAGTCAGCACAAGCCAACTGCCAACCATACTATTGACATTGCTGCCCTCTCTGCATGTGTTACTGCAGCTGCTTTTAGTCTTTTTCTTATAGAGTTTAATTTTTGTTCCGATTATTGCTGAGACGATAGCTTTTCTTGCAGCTTCACACACATAACATGTGTTGAAAGGGTTTTGTGAGACAATGTTTACTGTGTCTTGTGGTTTTTGTCCTTTTATGATTATGAAAAGTTAACTTCCTCAAACCAGGTATCATCAACTGTTTGATTATCATCTGCAGGTATCTTGGTTCTATCCATTGTACATCTTCAGCTTTATTATGAGCAATCTCTGGTACTTTTCTCACCCCATCCTGCTTTTATTTATTTCTCCGTTGTGACATTTAACCTGATTACTATAGCTATTGCTTAAACTTAAACCTATTTTTGGCCAAACATTTTCTTCTTTAGGAGTTCATCTTGCAACTGAAGACTTTTTCTGCCCTATAATTAACTGTCAGATCCATGTGGAGCTTCCTAGCCTGTAATTTTTATATTAGCAGAAGGAATTTAAACTGAGTATTTAAGTTTCCCATTTATTATGTGTTTCTTCTATTCAAGTATGTTATTTAAAGTTTTCATCTATTCTTTCAAATCCTTATTTCTGTTCTGATATATTTCAGTTTACACTAAAAAATGTCTTGGTCCAGGTAAAATGACATTGCTAAGCAAGGCTTTGCTACAACGGGGAGATCGGGCCTTCTTTGGTGGAATCTTCAAAACTAAATGATGCATTGACCTCAGACAGCAAATTGCATGCTGTAAGGCCTACTGGGCTTGGACGGTATTAATGACTGCATTCTTCTTAAACAAGCAGTTAAACCTTTTATAGAAGTGTTAGTCTGGTTTCCATTGTATGATTTCGCTCAGGATCATGATTGGAATAGGGGAGCAGGTATATTTGGTGCTTCTTTTGCGTTTCTTTCTCTTAGAGGTAAAATTCTTGTCTATATGGTATATTTTTGTTTTTTACTTGTTAGCTAGGTAAAGGTGAGTTCTTCCTGCATCTTTCTGTTTATAGAAGCATTTATTATCAGCTAGTATGCTTCTGATTTCCTTTGCCTTTTTCCCCTTTATGAAGTTGTCTATGTATTTGGAATGACAGACTTACATTATCTACAATTTATGTGTATGTTTATGCCTTAGGATTTGTACCCTAGGTTGGGAAGGCACTGGATTTCATACTTCTTTCTTGAATGTATGCATATTACTGTTTCGAGCCTGTGGTAAAACAAGTATTTGCTGTCCAACTATTTTGCTCTTAGTGTAAGCTACATAATGGCTAGATAACTTTTAAACTTCTTGGGTACAAATGGAACTTTTCCTAATGGGGCCTGGAGAAAAGGCTGGACTTCTTTGAAACTAATTGGGCTTTCTTTGCTGGTTTTGGTAATTACTTTTCACTTTAGTTGATTACTACTTGTAGATGTGATTTTTTTTATTTTACCTCTTGGCAGTTTGCTGTTATGGAAGTGAAAAGAACCCGAGAAACTTTATACTTTACAAGTTGAAAATAGAAAGTAGAGAACTCTTTGTTGAATGGACAGCTATTATTGTGTTTTGAAATCACTGATGTTCTAATCGGCTTTTCAGGAAGCCCTTGTCTTCTGGCAATTCTCTTTTTCTCACCTCTCGTAAGCTATGGTGTTACGGCCATGCTCTTTCCTCTTGTATGTCTTGACCCCATTTTTGTTCTTTTGATGATTATAAAATTGAATTTTCTCTTTCCTGAATATTGGATGGTCTTAACATGCATGTCTTTCAGTTTGTTCTTACTGCAACAGTTACAGAGGCAGAGCAAGTTATTTCCACTCAAAGAAGAAGATGGAGTGGTGCAGAGTTGGGGAAGCTTCCAGTAGTTTATTCAGTGGATACTTTATTGTAAGCTAACTGTTTTAATTAGCCTTATTTTTTTGCTTAAATACTTCATTATACCATTGAATTCATTTGCGAATGAAATGAATTTAATTTCCACGTTCTCCTGAACATGGTGGTATAGGATATTACTTGCAATATAAAGCAAGATGATAGTTTAAAATGGATAACTTTCATTTCGTTTAAAATTTTGATGTAATCATAAGAGGCTGACTCGCTGCTTGTCTCAACTAATATTTCTTCTCTAGGACGCAGGTCTTGTCCCTCTTCCCATCGGAATCTCAAGAACAAGTGCAAGACAACAAGACACTATAACAAATTCTGGCTTATGCTCTCACAACTTCTTGACAGTAAGTCCATTTCTACAAGCTAGACAGAAAAAGTTCTTGGACCTTTATCTCTTTTCTTATATTCTTGCATGTACTAAGCCTTTCATTAAAGCATATTTTTCTTTCATTTTTATCATCATTTATATTCTAAAGTTTCATCACCTAATTATGGTGCCAAAATAGATTCACCTCTTAAACTGGCAATTGCCTTAAAAATTATTCCTAAAATCTGCACAACACTTGCCATTGCTCTCAGCATTTCATTTTTGTATCTTTGTGTGCATAAAAATGCAGAAATATGTAACATATACTTACTGCTTTCTGCTTATTGCCCCTTTCTGAAATTATCAGAAATATGTTCAGTTTGGATTATAGTAATAGAACTTATGGTAACTCTTTGATGTCTTTTATGGCTATATTTGGAAATTTTTCATGATCAAACTTGTTGGTACTAAGCTTGGATTGTAGTAATAAAACTTAGCACAATGTTGGTACTTTAAAAAAAAAAGAAGTCAATGTGGATAAAAGTTGAAATAAAGTGAGATCGGTGCATTAATGGACTGGATTGACTTGATATCTAATGAAATGTGACTTTATTTAATTATGTGCTCAAATTCTTCTATGGGATTATACATTTATGTACTAACAATAAGCAAATCTTGACTTGGATTATTAGATTTCAATAAAGGGAGGCTCTTTATAAACAACAAAAATGTATGGCAAAATTCAAGGGCCGATAATAAAAGTAGGTGGCTTGAAAGATCATCTTTTTTGGTACTACTACTTCACATGTGGAAAATTTCCATGAACAATTGAAACTGAATAGTCATAAAACTCATGATTATTTTTTAACTTTAATGATCATTAGTAGGATTTTTATCTCTTACCTTGCTCATCTTTTGTTTTTTTCCTAAAGATCAAATTAAGAGCTTCTTCTGCCTATAATTAATTCTTTCTTTGTGCTTGATTTCTGGCAAGTGGTGACCCTGGTGCAAGAAAATGATTGAGCGATGAAAACGAGAAAGTCATATGAAAGAACTGGACGAGTCAAACAAAGGTGATTCTCGGTTTGCAAGACAAATGAAAACAAATAGAAAAGTACATGAGAATTGGATGGGAGAGTGGGTTTGCAATGGACATAACTCAACGGATCAAAGTCATCTCCAAAATATACATAGGTTATCGCATCCCAAAATCTTTCTTCCAGTACAAGCCTTGATGGTAAAGAGGTTCTCAAAATCCAAGAAAATAAATTTAGAAGTATTGGCATTGATTAAGGGTATAAAACATTCTCATTTATTTCCAGTTTTCTTGAATTTGTATTGATGTTTCAACCACTTTGGTAGATTCTGAAGCAACATTCTATTAAAATAAGCCTTTTTTTTCTCCTGGAAATCAGGGAGAGACCAGACCACCCAGATAGAAGTGGGGCTGCTTAGTTTAGAAGACATGTAGAAGCATGCCCATTGCCCTGGCAGAACATGTTGGTGTGGAAAGCAAGGCATAAATATGCTTTTAGCATGTAATAATAGCATTAATATTAAACAAACAGTACTTTTTTATCACTTACAGCCAAGTTGAAAGACAACTTATAGAAAATGGCAATGGCTTGGAATTGGAAGAAAAAAGCATTAAAAAAACCCAACTGACATGCTTACTTGATCCCTTTGAAACTTGAAAAGAAAAGGGGCAAGTGGACTCAAGAAAGCTTTTCTTATACTTTTTGAAGGAGTTGAGGTTCATAGTAGATTAGTAGTTCAAACAATGCCTTTCTGTTCATTTCTGCATTTTGCCAATATGAAAAAGATAGATTTGAAGGAGGTAGGAAAGGAGCAAGAAATGACAAACCCCGGAAACTAGTAATTTATAGCAAATATGATTAAGCCTCTTTTTTTCCCCCAGAAACCACAGTTCATTTTAGTTGTTTATTATTTTTTTTTTCCAAATTCCTCATACAAACATAGAGCAAATGATAGTAATAACACTATAATCAGCACAAACATATATCCTCCTATACAAACAACTCTCTCATTCATTCCTGTTCCCTATTGGGTCCCCTTCGGACCACAGCTGAAATTACAAACTCAAACTTCTCCACATCAAACCTAAGTTATATAGAAAAATTCAAAAATAAAAATCAAATGAACAAACAAAGCTAACAAGGGCACCTAATTAGAACCCTAATCAATTTCTCTCCATGTGACAATCCACTAAAATGTTTCATGCACTCGGCTCATCACAAACTTCATGTTCCACATCTGCACAAACAAACCCAGCAATCTCTAGTTCCTGCTCCTTATGTATGTATAATCGAATTGATTTTGTTAAAGAAAAAAAATCGAAGGCATCAACCTGTCACATATGGGAATTAAAAGTCTACTAACCAACTTGTATATTTAATGCTCTGACCATCATTGAGAATTATTTGGGTCTTCATCTGCACTGTCTGTACCTTGAGGCTGGTGTTGGTGATGTTCTAGTGGATTATTTTGCTCCGAATTAATATTTGAACCACCTCTAGAATAGGCATTAAGAGCCGCCAACATGCCCAGATTAGACTCAGACATTCCTAATCCAAGATGCTGAGAAGGTTGTTGCTGCATTAACATTGAACCCAATTGCAAAGGACTCGCTCTACCACCTTGGAATTCAACAGTACCTGGAAGATTAAATCTTGGTAAAAATTGTAACGGTGCTTGCAATGTATTCCCACTTGCAGGACTTGCTGTTCCAAAAGGCCACATCTGGGACTCAGATGGAGCAGCCCCAGATGCACCTGTTGCCACTGACGGGGCACCAGCACCAGCAGTCACGGGCAGCATCCAAAACGTACTTCCCGCTCCACTGCTAGGGCCTGGAGCCACTGCCCACATCGCAGTGGCGGGCAGGATATTTGACGGTCGAAGTATGCCCGAAGATCCAGCATCTTGCTGTGGCTTAGGCAGTTGACTTAAACCACTTTTAAAAGCCTTAATAAGGGATCCGTCTCCGCTCCCACCTCCATCGCCACTACTACTTTCACCCCGTTGCTGATTATCATCCTTAAACAAGTCCTCTCTAAAACGTTTCCTCATATAATTCTCATCTGAATTTCCACTATCTCCACCACCACCGCCACCACTTCCAGGTAAAGCTTCAGCTATTTGATCTGCTGCTAGAAGATGCTGTTGCTGTTGTTGCTGCTGTTGCTGCTGATGGTGAAAACCCAACAAAGCACTATGAGCAAACCCTTCTTCATAAGGGTGATGATGAAAATGAGAAGCCAAAGCTAAAGCACCATGGAACGAGTGAGGAGCAGATTTTGAAGGTGGAGCTGAAAGCGTAGATCCACTACTTCTTAACGAAACATTAAGAGTTGAAAAATTGGCTGGTATGGTACCAGTTCCAGTGGCAGCTATTATTGCTGTTTCAGCTTGTTGTAAAAGCCATTCAATTGTTTCCCCATCAGATTTGTGACCTAATTCTCTTGTCAATTGAAAAACCCTAGCCGCACAAGCAGCAGGCATTCTGATACGGCGGCCTCGACCATCAACTTTCGTGTGGCGATCCTTGGTGGAGCGTTTCACTGGTGGGTTAGCTGTGGTCGTCGCTGTTGATGTCGTTGTCGTAGATGAAAGTGGCAAGTTTGGCTGATTCTTCTTTGTGGAATCGATGTTGAGAGAAGTAGATCCGGTGGCAATAGCGAGAGAGGCGTCAACGAGTTGAGGTGGGTTGGTAGTAGTGGTAGAAGCTGAAGAATAGGAAGAGGAGGAAGAAGAAGAGAGAGGCGGCGTTGTGGTTGTGGTAGTTGTTGAAGAACCAGGATGAAGAAGATGATGAGCGTGTTGGTGGGGGTGAAGGTGAGAGATGGAGCCCATATTAAAAGGGTTGCCAGAAGAAGGACCTGAAGATCTGGAGCCATCAAAAGGGACCACAACAAGAGGAGGAGAAGATGGCTGTTTTTGATGTTGGAGATGGTGGGGTTCTGTAGAATCGTTGTTATCGTTGTTGCTGTTGGTTTGCTTATTGCTTTGCAAATCTGTAAGTTCCATCTGGTGGGGTTTCCAGGTTCTTGAAAGGGGTGACTTTTATTTTTATACTACAATGTTTCTTTGTTCTGGTTTCAAAGTTGATCCATCGTCAACCCCATCTTTTCTCCTGTTCTTGTTCTCTCCAGGTAATCTTTGTTTCTCTTTTGCTTTCTGATTGACTGTAGGCTTTGCCTGAGCTGTGATGAAGAGATGCTTAGGCTGAGAAGCTGGCTTTAGATGATAAATTTGGCAGAATTCCACTCGTGTTGTCTCGGAAATGAATGTTAAAGAATCGGCATGTGTGTTTTACATACACAAATATGAATCTCCTACAGCTCTTCAGACAAAGCAATGTCCACTCGCATGAGTTTCGCAATCAGGAGTTGCCCTTTGATGTGTTCCAGAATGTAAAACTCCCATTCTACCCTTGGTTTCATTCAACAGGTTACAAAGCCTGCCCACACAAGTGGACAATATTGTCCTTGTCGTTTCAATCAGTTAAGTCTTTCGGACAGAAATCGATGTGCCCGCATCATTGTCTGAATATGTTAGGAAAATATCTTTTTTATTAGTTTAAAATAAAATTAAAAAATTTTAAAAGAGAGTATATAAAGCAAATAAAATATTTTGAGATTCTTTTAGATTTAAAATACTTGAATTTTTTTACACATTGAATTTTTTTTTTTTAGTTTCTATTAAAAGAAAGTTTCTTTTGGAGTTTTGTATTAAAAAAAATTTTCTTTTGGAGTTTAGTTTTTCTATTAAAAGAGATTTTATTCTGAAATTTAATTTCTATATTAAAAAATTAGAGAGTAAAAATTTATATTCAAAAAATAAAAAAAATTTGAGAATAATTCTTTTTCCACCTTTAATTTTACGGAATTAAAATTTATTCTCTAATTTTTTTTTTTTGACATAATTCAAGTGTTCAACATGTTTTTCCTTTTAGTTTTTAAAAGTCTGACATTAAATTTTCTTTGTCTCGAAACAACGTTTACAAATCAAAAGAGCTGAGATGGGGCGTCAAGGAAAGGACAAAAGTAAATTTTGGGGATTTATTAAAGAGAAGAGAAAAAGGTATTATGGTAAATAGAGGGCGTTTGAGAGTCGCGTCCAGGGCAGGGGCAGGTAAGCATCAGATAAAGCATCTAATGCTGTAGGACAGCTCATCCCTAACCAACCCCACATTCTGTTTTTATTTTTCTAATTGTTTATTTATTATAATATCTTTTCCTTTTGGATTGCTGTCAATATGGGCACCCCTTCTTTTGCTGCGCTGGCAACTTTTTTTTGTTAAAAGACCAAATTGCCTTTTTATACATTCTGGGAAGAGACCAAACTCCAATGTGTTAATAGCTATTTGTTCTGTATAAACATATGGGAATACACATTAAAACATTAGATTAATAAATAGGAAAATAATTGAAGATAACAAACTAGTACACATAAGATAGAAAAACAAAATATTTCAACATGTAACAATGGTAATGGGTAACAGAAACAAGTAATTATCTTTACTTTGTAAGTATATGTTTAGGCTATGTTTGGATAGGGTCCAGTAAAAAAGGGATGCAATTATTGTAATGTACCATCCATCTAACATAGCTTTAATATTAAATATTATATCTGAAATGATATAAATATGATATAAAATTAATATATAAAAATGATATAATTTAAAATTTTAATAATTATTATATATATGAGTTTAATAAAATTTAAAAAATATAAATTATTTTTTCATATTAATATAAATTGTGAGACGTAATTTTTATATAAAATATAATATAAATACATAAATTTTAATATTTTATATAATATAAATATATAAATCATTAAATCTACTCAATTTAATAAAATAATTTGATAAAGATTTTCTCATCGCATCAAAACATCCTTAAAATTAAATCTTTGTTGGACAATTTTAGAATAAATTTGATTCTCAATTGAATTTTCAATTTATAAAAAAATCATCTACCATCATATTATTTTATTTATCGAAACAAGTTTATTATTAAACTTTGCAGATAATGTTATTGATCTTTATATTGAAAACGTAAGAAAAGAAAAACCAAACTTAAATTATAAGTAGTACAGCTACTTTTTTAGTAAAGTTTTGTCGATTCTTTTATGTTGTTCTTGCATGCGCAAACAAAATCCATGAAAAGGCTGCAATTTGAAATGCAAAAAAAAAAATTTTTTTTGATGCATGTTATTGAACCCTAATTGATTTTTGTGCATGAATCATGGTGGTGCTAACTGGTTTTGACCATGCACTACTTTAAAAGTATACTATATATAAATGTACATGTATATATCTGCACCAGTTTTACATGTATATTACATTTTCTATTCATGATTTAAAAATTCTTAGGCTAAAGGGCGGCAAAATTTTAAAAATCTCCCTTTGGAGGTAGAGGTGCCCAAATCATTTTAACTTTCCTTATATTTCAAACAAAAAAAAAAAGTGAATAACTATCCCTATACTATTCTTATTATTATTATTATTATCTCACAACACTAATCAGCCAGCCAATACCCCACCTGGACCCACTTTTATATTAAAAAAGAAAAACTACTCCTAATTTGAACATATAATCATCTAATCTACTCATAATTGATTCCATTAATAACCTGATAAATCCAACCCACCTCTTCGTCCTTATCTTCTTAAACAATTTTTAACTCAAACATACAATTTAAAAATATTAAACACCCATAGATTTTTGCTGTCTTCCTCTCATTTAAAAGTTGAAAATATTTTATTAAAAAATTAATTAATTCATGCAATTAATTTTAAAAAATAATATTTAATAAATTTAAATTTTAAATTACGATTTTTTTGTCAAAAAAATTGCAAAACTTACCGTGTTATAATAAAATCATATTTAAATTCTTTCTTTTTAATATTTTAGCATTTATTTTAATACTAAGTGCATGTATTATTCTTTTAAGAAATTATCTTTTTTTGAAATAAAAATGTCCTTCCCCTAAAATAAAAAATTAGATTTTTTTTTTTTAAAGATACAAGATTTAGATTTATATCATATTGAACACAAACTATGTAGGAAAAGGAACATTGTGCGTGAGCTATAGATGTAAATCTCAACAAGGATTGTTGCATTAAATTGACTGTACTGCCTGCAGGCAAAGAAAGTGGTAAAGTGGGAATTAGTGTTCATACGTCATACTCTGTTTGGTTCTCCATATAAAAAGGAATTCTTGGTAAAAACTTCTTCCATCTTATAATTTTTTTTTCTTTGCCAATTTCTCTATATTCCTTTTCAATATTCAATCCTATTCCAACTAACAAATTTAATTTTAAAATATTTTTTTCAAAAACGTTAAAAAAATGAAATTCAATTGATATGAGACTGTAACTTCACTGACTTTACAGTAAAATTAGTTCCCCTCCCTTAAATGCATTGTAAAAGTTAAAATGGTAAATAAACAAGTGAATTCTATGCTAGAAAGATTTAGATTTAGATTTGATTTTTTTATTAGTAATTCTTTTATAAATTTAATGTAAATTTTTTTACTAGTTTGAGGTCACACTGAAAAAATGAAAATGCAAAAACAATTATGGAAAATAATAGTATTTTTTTATATAACAAATTGATACTTTCGTAGTTGAGGTAATGATTATACGGATTTAGCAACAAATTGACCGCACATGCAAGTCACGTGCGCTTCGACAGTCCCTCTCTTTTTTGGTAAAACTTTTCCTTGCTTTTTATTTTGTTTGTAAATGTGGTCTTTTTCACCGTGAAATTTCACGGCGGGAAAAAGTCCTTATCATTCACGGCGAAACAGACACGACGCTTTTAAGAGGCGCTTGAGGGACAGCAAACAATTATGAGAGGAGGCAGCAAAAGCCTGCCCTTGGTCTACGTTTGGGACCACCCAACATATTATTCTCTTATCCGGTAATCCACATTTCCACGTTGATTTCAACGGTATTCGACTTCCCAAACGCAGCTAATTATAACCTGTTTGTTTCATGATGTTAATAGCTTAACGAAATGCTTGCAATTTCATCCTCAATTTCAAATATTAACAGTGAAACATTGATTTAGACAGCAACCAATTGGTCTATTTATTGATATTTTATTTGAATTACCGGAGAAAATTTTATACCATAATTTATATTTATATAAAATATTTTATTTTATTAAATTTATTTATAATTTTTATTAAAATTTAAAATTATATTATTTTTATATTTTTATTAATATTATTTTATTTTATTTTGTTATATCATATTTAAAATTATTAAATTTACAAAAAAAAAAAAAGTACGTGTTATTTAAGTTTTGGTTGTTAGCACGGTTAGAAAATCCAAACACATTACGTGCCCTGGGCCATAACATTAAATGGGCCATAAAAGTGGGCCTTGACCTACTGTTCTTTCTGCCTATTTATGCTTTGATAATCAATCCAATGAACAGGCGGGCCAGAACAGGGGAGAGCTGATAGCCGTGGGTTCCCAGCGCAATAAACATCGAAAAGTGAATATCGCTATCCCAAGTCCCAAATCATCCAAAGATGATCCAATGCATGCATTAGCAGAGTAGATCCTTTTTGCCTTTCTTCTTTTTGGATTCTTGCCCATCCTTCAGTTTACACCCCTCTTTTTCGTCTTTTACTTTTTACGGTTTTTTTTTTTTTTGGTGTGTAGATAATTTTAGGGTTCCGAAAGGTAAACGGAGATCAGGGAGACAGGGACCCAAGGCTTGAGGCTATAGAGCTAAGAAATCTTTTACATTTATCAATAAAGTTGATGAAAGTGGTTAATATTTAAGTTTAGATACGAAATATTTAAATTTGAACTCTCATAATTTTTTATTATTAAATAACTTGTAAATCTAAATTTTTTTTAAACATTTGTAAATCTTTTACTTCAAGATTTATTCTATTCTTGAAGATACGATAATTTTTCTCTCAATTTTTTTCACGACAAAAAAAAAATTTTATATTTGAAGCATTTCAATGACAATTTAATTTTACTCATCTTTCTATATATATATTTTATTAATGCTTGTTGATCAGAATAATAAAGAGTTCAATTTTTTTTAAGTAATATTTTGATTTTGAATCTTATAAATAATAAAAATACGTTTAAGAGAACTTATTCTTTTTATAAAATCTGACTCAACTCGATTTTAAATTAGTTAAAATTCAAAATAACTTTCTGACATGAAAGTCTCGAGCCACAAAATATATATATATTTTCATATGTTGGAATAACACTTTATATTTGCATTTGTGTTTTTGGTTGATACTTTAGGATTAACATACAAAATATTAATTAAATTAATCTCATTTATATGTAATTTAAATATTGAACATTTATTTACATATATAATATAGTACTATTTGATTTATGCATCAGGAATTTTTCGTTTTTTTTCATTTTCTTATATTCTTTAAAAAGTACTATAGTATAAGTCAATCAAGCTTATTATGATTAATCCATCTAATACTGAACTACATGAATAGAAAAAAAAAATGTAAAATTCTCTATTTAATTCGAATAACTGATATTGGCAAACAATAATAAAATTATATTTTGATTTAGATTTGGAGAAGAAAAAGAAAAAGCAGTGGAGAGGGACCCAAGAAGCTGCTAATGGAGCAGCAACTCATCCCTCCTCGTCAGAACCCTTCCCTTTTAACTAGGACTTGCTTTTGCTTTTTCTCCGACTTCTTCATTCTCTTCCCTTAGCTTTTTCTTCTCTCAATAATTTCTCCATTACAATTTTCCCTTTTCATGCCCCCCAAAGCCCCTTTATTCTCTGCTTTGTAAACTTTGCTTTTTCTTTACGTATTCAAGGATATCAACGACCCCAAGAAAACCATTTTACCTCCAAACAAACAAGAAACTAAAGCTAATCAACGCAAGCAGAAGAGAAAAGGGGAATAACAGAAAGGAAATGGTTGAGTTTGATTATGAAGAACTTGTAAAAGCGACCCAAAGTTTCTCACCATCAAGACTGATTGGCAAAGGCAGCCATGGAGCGGTCTACCAAGGCATTCTTCAAGATAACCAAGTAGTGGCCGTAAAGAGATCATCCATCAATGGTGTTGAGGCACAACGTGACAACTTGAAGAAGCTAAACAATGAAATATCTATATTGTCATCTTTACGTCAAAGTTCTCACATCATTAGCTTTCTCGGAGCTGCCGCTCATGACTCAGCCAACGACGACGAGCTTTTGGTGATGGAGTTGATGCCTAATGGTTCTTTGCATGATTTGCTACACTCTGGAGCCTCCCAACCCTCGTGGCCTAAACGTGTAGAGATCATTATGCAAATAGCAAGGGCGGTTCAGTTCCTCCATGAAGGCAAGCCTTTGGTCATCCATAGGGATATTAAATCTGCTAATATTTTGCTTGATTTAACTTGGACTGCTAAATTGGCTGACTTTGGACTCGCAGTCTCGCTCTCGCCAACAGACTCGCTGAGTCAGGCGACTCAACCAGCCGGCACTATTGGGTACTTGGACCCCTGTTACAGCGCCCCTGACAAACTGAGCACTAAAATCGACGTGTTTAGTTTAGGGGTTGTTTTCTTAGAAATTATTTGCGGTAGAAAAGTCATTGATGTCTCCAAAGCCCCGGCTTCAATAGTTGAATGGGCAATTCCATTAGTTAAAAAGCAAAGGATGATGGATATCTGCGACCCCAGAACTCGATTTCCAACGTACATGGAAGGCATGATCAGGAGAATATTGAGCGTGGCATCACGTTGTTTGTCAGAACAGGAAGACAACCGTCCTTCAATTGGAGAAATTATCATGGCAATGGAGACTTGTTCCATTGAACGAGTCAGAACTATTACTACTTGGAGTAGCATCTTGCAGAACTTGGTTCTAATCAGGAGGCGGCCAAAGAGTAGACAATGTAGGGCCATTCATGCAAACCAGCAAGGTGATGTTAATAGCGACGTTTCAAGAGGGAAAATGTTGCTAAAGGAGATATTAGCAGATGTTATGTTGAAATGAGTTCGACTGATCAGTTGTCAGTTGAGTTGACTCAAAAATGTGAGAGGGAGTCGAATCAAATAAACTCGAGTGGGTCAATAGTCGGTTGCCTTTGTCGATATATAATGTAGGTTTTAATAAAAAACATGCATTCCAAACAGAAGATTCTCAGAAAGTTGGTAGCCAGAGAATATATAAAAGAAAGCTTCAATTGTATGCCCTGTCATGCCCTGTCGATGTACATTCTTCACCTTCTTTTTCCTTTTTTTCTTTTCTTTTTTAATTTTTATATACGCTTTTTATTTTCGGGGCATTGGTATTTTCACTTTTGGAACATTGGCCTCTTTGTGTACAGTATTTATTGTTTTGCCCTTTAAGTTTTCATTGTGAGAGAAGTTTTCTCTCAATTGTACTTTTATACAGTGATGTCAATTGACCTCATTTTTTGTTTTTATATTATTTTCGTATTTATATTTAACAAATATTGTAAATTTATTTTATCCTTATTCTTGTAGATATTTAATATATATATGAGTAATTTTTGTATATGTAACTTTTTTAAAAAAAAAGCAAAATATAAAATTATTTTTTTATTTTTTTATTTTATTTTGCATATTTATGTAATTTTTTTATAAATATATATTTTCAAATATAAATATATTATTTTTAATTAATCTAAAATTAGCTAAAAATTAATTTATTAAATATATAAATATATATAAGGTACAGGACTGGTGCTATATAATATATTCTTGTACCCATACCATATAAAAATTTTAAACTATATCTATCATTGTCCTTATTTTTAAAATTTAATATCTATTTTTATCTCAATTAAGATAAAAAATTAAATTTCCCATTGGATTTAGATAGTATTTACATCCTTAATGTTATATATATATATATAAATATTCAAAATCAAACAAATGTACCCATATATATGTTTAAGCTCATGTATATATTAGAATATCGTAATCAAGATAAGATCAAATTTTTCATGGAATTTGGATAAAATTTATATTCTTAATTATATATATATGTTCAAAATCAAACAAATGTAACTATATATATATATATATATATGTTTAAGCTCATGTATATACATATTAGAATATTGTAATCAAAATAAGATTAAAAACATCAACGAATGGTTGATTTAGTTGATAAATTCGTTCATTTCAAGTTAAAATAATTTTGAGTTCAAATATTGTTGATGATTACTAAATAACTCATATGTCCAGAGCTTTTTCAATAACAAAAAGAAAAGGAAGATTCATGAGACTATGATCTTTGATCCTCAACCTATTATATAACTTTTATAGAGGAATATATATAAATATATATATGTTTATCATTAAATTCATTTTGCCAATAAAATAGTAAAAAGGTTGTTCCTTGTTGTTGTCGGGATTTGCAGGGATGGTGAGGGCAAAATATTATACAAAATGCAATTGTTAAGTTAAAAAGTAGGAAGAAGCTGCCCCTTTATTCCTTTTGAAAGATGTGGGATTTTGAAATATGAACCTAATGTTGGTAATGGTCATTAAAATATGTTTACAAGAGTTTGTGAAACAGGCCAAATGGCAAAAGACTTGTGTTTAATTTGTTTGTTTTATCTATAATATTTATATTCATAAGAGGTAATAGTTTGATTATTCCAAATTGAATATCTCACTTTCAAATTCTACCCACTACTTACTCTTATATCTTTTAATTATGTGTATGATCTTTTTTAAGCAATAAAAATTTTTAGGTTTTGCTTAGTATATTTATTCTTTAAATTGATTGAAATAGATTTATTCTTGTTAAATTTATCGAATTCATAATAAATTATATTTAAGATTTTAATAAGTCATAAAACAAATGTTATTAATTATTAGTAAACAAAAAAGCATGCATAATATTGACAAAAACAAAAAAAAATTACTTTCTTTGTTTTCTTAATTAATAGACAAATGAAATCAATATAAAAGGACAAAAAAAAAGTTATCACCCCATGCATATGGTTAAATGTAAATACCCATCACTAAATCCATTTGATTTCAAACTTTTAATTTATTAATTTCATTATTTTCTTAGAAAAATAATTGAATTCAATATTACAAATTAGTTTTAAAATTTTTGTTTATAGTCAAGTCACATAAAGCACTTCCTTTTTTATTTAAAAAAAATCTAGATGTGACCTAATGTTTTATATTATTAATTAGTTTTGATCTGTGCGATGTATGAAATTTTAATATAACTAAATTAATAAGTAAAAAAAATAATTAAAATGAATTAATTACCTCTGAAATTATCCAAATAAAAGGTGCTATTTCTACATTTTGAAATTACTATTTTTATTAATATTATTTTACAATAAATTGATATAGTTATGGGCTAAGCAAATAGTCAACCCATGTTGAAGTGGGCCACTAGTATGGGCCCAAATGAAATACCACCGAGGTTGGAGTGAAGGCGTTCGGACCGGGTCCACTCCGGTTCAAGATCAAGGAAGATTCAGCAGAGATTGTGGCAAACACCGCCTCAAAAGGCCATACCTTTATTATATTTATTTATTCATCTTTTCCTCATATTTCTCTCATGTAATTTAAACCCTAACCCTAACCTTTAATTCCTATAATTGTAAATTTCCGTAGATAAAAACATCAAATTGCAGCAATAGAAGGTAATCGTAAAAGCAATTGATGGAGATGCAGTTCGCTCACAGTTTGTTCGAGAGACGCCCCATTCTCAAATCCAAGGCTCCCGCTGTTAAATGGTTCAAGGAATGGTAAATTAAGTCTCCTTTTTATTTGAATTAAGTATGGGATATTGATTTGAGTGTTCTTTTTAACTAATCGAGGGTCAATTTGCTTTGATTTCTAGCATATATGCCAATTAGATATTTTTAACCAAGATTTTGACATGATTTAGTGCTCAACTTCTCCTTATCATAACCTTTTGATGCTTTGTATCATACACAATGCCAATGACTGACCTCAATTTTGTTTAGGGTACCTCAAGATGTTGTGGCAACGGGTGGAAAGTGCATGGTTTTGAAGTGGGTAAACGGTTAGTTCTATTTTCTTTTTGCTATGTATTTCTTCTGTTTGATACTTATATTCGTAATTTTGATTCGGCTTCTTTGCTTTTGCACTGGAAAAGTATACGATGCCTTTACAAAGGCTTTGCCCCAAGCGTAGCTTTAGAATAGAAACATAGATTATTTGGGAGGTCTTATCATTATGCCTTACGAGGTTGTTTAGAGAAAAAGGGGAGTTTTGATTTTAGATGGTGATGAAGACAAGAATGCTTTTGAGGGATTAAATCCAGTTCTTTTGACAGTCTATTTGTTTGACGATAGATGTATGTCCATGTTCTTCTTACAATGACTTCTCTGTCCTTTCTATGATTTCCTTCGCCATATTTTCATTACATTGTAGGTTTGAAAGATTCCATGTCCTGTGTGTGTGGTTGTTTAATTTATTTGGAGTAATAGATTCTGTGGTTTGTTGTCAGGCCATAGAGAGGTAATTTGGAAGGATTATCTTGGAGGGAAGGTTTTTTGTAATTTTCTTCTTTATAGATTTGTCCTGCCTAACCTTCCTCACCCAACTGTTTGGTATAGAGAGCACCTCGAAGGGATTGAAAGAGAAGGAGAAAGAGCCTGAAGCACCAGAGCCTGAACCAGAGCCTACGACTGAAGTTCTTTTCCTTTGCAGCTATGAAGGCTGTGGAAAGACCTTTATTGATGCTGGTGCTTTGAGAAAGCATTCTCACATTCATGGAGAAAGACAATATGTTTGTCACTGGGAGGGTTGTGGGAAGGTATCAGATCTAAACCTTCCTACTTTTGATGCAAACAATGAAACTTTCTGATTTACTTCATGAGAAAATTCCTCTAAGATTTAGTGGAGCATAATGAAGAAGTTCTGATATATGTTTGCTTGAGAACCATGAAATGCTCAATTTCATCTTCAAACTGTTTCGTTGGTGGTTGTTAATGTGGTACATTCTGCAGATAAATAGTGTTTCATTCGTGGTTCTTAATGTGGTGTCCTTTTTGTTAATAATGCAGAAATTTTTGGATAGTTCAAAACTGAAAAGACACTTTCTCATTCACACTGGAGAAAGAGATTTTGTATGCCCACATGAAGGTTGTGGTAAGGTGATAAATATATCTCATGTTAATCCTTCTTTTATGGTTTACATGCTTGTTGTATTGCACGTTTTGAGTACATTCTCTTATAATTGTTATAATAGATTTCTTCTTTGTTGTTTTAGTTGATTTCTCTGTTCTTCTGGTTCTTAATAATTTTTTCTAACATAATTTTCTGTGATGTGCTCCTTATTATAAATTTAGGCTTCGATGCATTTTCACTTAAACAGAAAATAAAAATTATCTTTGATCAATGACTTGGTAATTTTTATATACCATTACCAAATTGCTATTTGATTTTCAGTTTTCAAGGAAAATTGCTGTTTTTATGACATGCATAAATGGAGTTAGGAGGCTATATGTTCTCTAACTGAATGTGGATTTATGAACTGCTCTTATATAGCGGGAGATGTAGGGAACAATGAACCTTAAGTTTAACTGAAAGAACTTGGTTAAATGCTAAGTGGGGCATTTGTGATTATAGTAACATAGTTTTGCATTATGTCTGACATTTGTGATTTTAGTAACGTAGTTTTGCGTTATGTCTGGTGCTAAGGTTTCCTACAACTGTTGTTTTTGCTTCAGGGGCTTCCCGTATTTGTTTATATGTGCATGGGCATATATATTTAGTATAGTTTCCCTTTATATTTGTTATGACTGATTTAAATATGAGAATAACAGGCATTCTCCTTGGATTTCAACCTGAGATCACACATGAAAACACATTCACAAGAAAACTACCATATCTGTCCATATGCAGATTGTGGAAAGCGATATGCTCATGAGTACAAGCTAAAGAACCACATTGCATCCCACCATGAAAAGGTAGTAATGTTGCTGTTATAATCTGTATTCTAGAACATGACATGTATGCCATCTTATTAACCGTGAGATATTGGATCTAATCTGAATTTCACCCTTGCATTTTGTAGAACACAACAGCAGATGTGACAAAATATGCCACACCTACGGAGAAGATAACTAAAACTCCTAAGCCTACTGGGGGTGCCTATGGCTCTGCATCATCTGATCGCCCTTATGCTTGCCCTTATGAAGGTTGTGAGAAGGCTTACATACATGAATACAAACTAAAACTTCATCTAAGGAGAGAGCATCCTGGTCATATGTCAGATGAGAATGCCGAGAATGCCACAACTAATGCTGACAATGAGATGGATGAAGCAAGTGATCAAGATGCTTATGCTGGAAAGCGAGTCAATGGCAAAAGTCAGAAACAACAAAGCAGGGCCAAGCCGAATGTGAAGATGCCCCCTGCCAAGATTGCACGGCAGAAAGTCTCGAATCCTTCTCCTGCCACTTTGCCTGTACCCAAAAAAAAATGGCCAGTCAAAGAAGAAATATATGAGGAAGAGGATAGTGAAGAAACAGAGGAAGATCGTGAGAACGTAGAGGATGGATGGAGGTATGGGGAAAACAATGAAGACGATGATGAAGAGACAGAATATGAAGACTAGAGCGCAAACATGCATACTACTGAATAAAGGTGGTGCTGGTTATTTACTATTCCTTCCCTTTATTGGTCCTTTTCTATCATATGAAGACAGAATATGTGTTTGGCTGCGTGATTTTATATGGGGAAAGGCAATGTTATTAGCCTCAGCACCTTTTCTCTTATTCATAGCTTTCGTATCATGGTCACCGTGGATGAATTGCGTATACCGTTCTTCCTGTTTGAGGGGTATGATTTATTGATATATATTCTCATAAATTTATTTTTTCTTGATTTTACACCCTCCCTTACTCCCGTTCACTCTGTGTTCCTTTGTGCATGTCATCAACAGAGGTAGCTTGGGACTAATTGGGACAAATATATCTTTACCTATGGTGATATCTTCATCTCCAAAATCCAGGAAACAGGATGGTAGATTTTGGTACAATTATCTATATTCCTATACAGATCAGGGTAAAAAGTAAAAAAAAAAAAAGAAAAAGTAAGAAAGTCGTCGTTTCTGGGTTGTAAATGTTTTAATTGGTAACTGTCGCCATGTTTTGAGTGAACAACTAACAGTGGCCCCCCATTGCCATTACTACGATGAAGTTGAGTTCCGAAATGGTAACTGAGATTTGGATGACCGTGCGTTTCCCTTGTACTTGAAACACAACAAAATTAAGAATTGGGCGAAAAAAAGAAACGAAAATAAAGGGAGTTAAACGTTATTCATTTTGTTTCCTTTCTCTTTTTTCCACTTGATGATGGTGGTTGTGTGGCAGAAGGGGGGGGGGGGGGGGGGGGGGCGCATTGACAGTTTGATACCGTCAAAACACGTCTTGGTTAACGTCTCACTCTTCCAGCAAGAAGGCGGTTCTTTTCATGCTTTTGCCCTAACTTAAAAAAGAGCCGTTTCACTTGCCATAAACATTATCACTTCTCTCTCTTTGTTCTATAGGCTTCACTTGACCGATTTATACTCTTTCACCCTCTCATGGATGACAATGATAAGAGCAACAATGGAGCTGGTCATGAGGGTCAAGCTCAACCCAAGGCTGTAAGACGTCGGCTCAACTGCCAAGCAGTGGGTGAACAAGCTGGAGACACCAACATGGAATGCAGGCGCAACATTTCTCTCTCTGCTTGTCGCTACACCGTTGATGGGTGTAGTGAGTTTCTCAAAGGTTCAGCTGGCGAAAATCCCATGCTTTGCGCCGCATGTGGCTGCCACCGGAGCTTCCATCGCAAAGTGGTTCCGACCCATTTCCGGAACTACTCCAACTACCTCTTATTCAACGGCATCCCTTTCGTTCGTCCAGTGCAACAGCCTCTACAGCCGCCTCTACCTCTCATGCCACAACCAGAAATACCCCATGAACTGGTTGCTGAAAGTGCAAGTGAAGAAGAAGGGTTAGAGACTGATGAAGCAAGTGAAAAACGATCAGAATTAGACAGTGAAAGTGAGGATTAGGAAGCTAAAATGATTATCGGAGGAGAACATTCGGACAGAAAGGATGACCAAGAATAAAGGTGGGGTTTATAAGAATCAACTAAGAATACTTGAAACTAGGTTTCTTTACTTTGCATGCTTCTACCTTTTTTTTTTTTTTTTTAATTTTTAGTTTTTTTTTCCTGTTCTTTGTGGCTCAAGAGTCAACTGTATGTTTCAAGTTTGTGTTTAACATTGAAGACTGAAATTCTCCTCTGATGATTATTAAGTTCTAAAAAGAAACATATTTGTCTTAATTCCCATACTAGAAATACTATTTCATATAAATTGAGCTTAATTAATTAGTTTAAATCTTGATTTATTGTAGAAAGAAAATTTTTTTATTATTGAATTATTATTGAAATTCAAGAGAATAAAAAAAAGTTAAATAACATGAAATAACATGAAACGTATTGGAAACATGAACCTAAAAGTACAGGACTTTGATTTCGATATAAATTAAATAATAAAACATAAACCAAATAATTGCAAATGGCAATGTTCCATCTATATAATATTTTTATATATAATTATTTTTAAAAATAATGATAAAAATTGAGTTCCTTTCAAAAAACAGACATAAAACAGGACAAATAAGAGAGTATTTCATATAAAATCATATATAAGTAACAATTATAAGTTGACATATATAAAATTCAACAACAAGGGCTAGAGATGCAATAAATAAAAAATTAGATAGGTTAAAAAAATAATTATAACAACCAATTGATGATGTTATATATAACAAATCATTAAAAAGAATATACTAATAATAAAAATAATTTATGCGATGACAAAAAGAAAATATGATCTATAGACTAAAGTTTAATTTAGATAGATAATAAAATTGAAAACAGTAATAAAATTTATTGTAACTGCGGTTGAAAAAAAAGTTATTGTAGCTGTAATTAAAAAAAAATTTTAATAAAAAATTTATGTTGACTTGATCTTGTTAGAGTTAACATTTGAATTTAATTGAATGTACGATGAACTTAATTTGATGCGGTGAGATCTAAATGGCTACTAATATGAGTAAGGATTTATGTGATGACAAAAACAAGATATGATTAAGAAATCGACAAAAGAAAGATTTTATATTAAAATTAATGGATAGGAAAAGATACAATAGAAATGCGATAAAAATGATTGTAGATTAATATAAATCAATAAAAAATAATTTTAGATAGATAAAAATCGACAAAATTATTTTTAAATTAATGGACTTATACAACAAAAAGAATAATACTAACAAGGAAAATGCATAATTAAATGCATGTTATAGAAGAGAATCATTGAAAATAGACAACAGTTATTAAGAAAAAAAAATAGAAAACCTAAACTTGGCAGGAAAAGAGTAATAAGGGCTAAAGTGCTGAAGTAACATTAAAACAAACATAGATGCAATTTTGAATGGGATAGAGATTTAGGGTGCATATTTCAACACTCTAGTTGCAGTGCCTTTCATTTTCAATCTATTTGGATTTCCTTGCCAACATGATTTGATCTGTTTCTTGGGCATAAGTTAAATTCAGCCAAGAGCTTAACTATGAAAATTACTTCTCTAAGTAGCAGGACACGTCCTAACTTCATTGTCACAAAACTGCCACTCTTCTAGCACAGAATCTACTTTAACTCAACATGATTTGTCACAAACCTGTCACTGTTCTTTGATGCTTATGGACCAAACTCAAAAAACAGACGTTCATTTGCTAAAGACATTACTGATAATCACTTCTCTATGGCAGCCATCATGGAAAAAGAAAGAAACACTGATCAGACCAACATTAATGCAGTTCTTGAGGTTCAAGCAAGTTCTGTCCGAGGGATCAACCGTGAAGTTTTTGTCGAACAAGCTGAAGCGACGCACATGGAATGCAGACGCAACTATTTATGTAAATAGCCTCCATTGGAGGCTACATCATAGACGGTTGTGGGAAATTTGTCTAGGGAGGCCAAGACGAAACCAAGGAAGCCTTGCTTTGTGCAAAGTCGGCTTTCACCGGAAAGTGTACTGCCTCCACCCCATCTACGAGACACCAGATACTGCATTATGAAATCGATCATCAGCAGCATGGCTGATGTGATCACTTGTTGAAATAAAGTTCATATGTGAATAAATAATCTTATATCACTAAAAAATATAAATGAGATATCCTATATATACATAAAAGATTCAAGAATTTAATAATTTAAAATTTTGAGCTCAAATAATGTCTAACATGTATGTATGAATTTTATGGTGTGCTCCATAGACTCCAATTGTGATAAATTTCTTAATAATTAGTATCAAGATCACGAGTTCGAGTTTCAATAGTGTAACATTGCTGGAAATTATTGGCAGATTAAAGCTTAAGTTCACTAGAGATTTGAGGTTGTTTGTCAGATTTGAATGGTTAGATTTAAGAAGAAAAAGCCTCAATAAGACTCATATTGTATGAATACAATATATTTTTATTTTTTATACTTTTATTAATATTAAGCTTTTCTATTCTAATTAATAAGAAATTAATAATATAATTAATAATAATAATATTACGAATATTATAAATAACACAAATAAACTAATTTTTTATTTTTTTATACTTTTATTAATATTAAGCTTTTCTATTCTAATTAATAAGAAATTAATAATATAATTAATAATAATAATATTACGAATATTATAAATAACACAAATAAACTAATCTTTTTGAATCTGCCTTGCATCTTCAAATAACTCGATAGATCAAATAACTCGATAGAATAGATTCGCCAATCTCACAGTTCTTCGAGTGCCAATCTTAAGAAATCATTAAAAATCTGGCCTAAAAGTTCACTAGAGATTTGAGATTGTTTACCCCAAAAAAGGTGTTGATAAGATTTATTCGCATAGAAAAAAGTCAGATCTAGAGGTTGTTTGCCCTAAAGGAGGTGTTATAGGATTTTCTCGTACGAAAAAACTCAGAGATTGTTGATAAAACGTTTACATATGAATAAAAAATCTCATATCACTAAAAAATATGAATGAAATAACTTATATATACATAAAAAAACCCAAAAACCTCTATGCTGTGTCCTCATGGGCTCCAAGTGGAAGTATGACAACTTTCCCAACATCGCTATCACTTCCCAAGTATGAATCAATTGAAGGTCAAGGGTCATCCTTCCTAATTATGAACTAATTGAAGGTCAAGGGCCATCCTTAAATCCAGATGAAGCTGAAGTGAAGCCTGAATCTGACAGCAGGGACGAAATTAATCGGCCCTTAGACATTAACAAGGGAAAAAGATGGGCGTATGCTAAAGTTTTAATTAAACTTCTAATTAAACCTATTAATTATGACTTTGATTTTAGTAACAAAATAATTACTGCAATCTTTTCAAACTTCAAATCGGTTTTCCCTTTTTTTTTCCCCTTATTCATTTTGCCGTATTAAAATGATTGCCGTTGCTTTCCACGACGAAATTGTATGAAAAATGAGAGACAAGTTAAACACAAAAACTTCAAATTAAATTAAGACCAGACAAACCATGCATACAAGAACTTTAAACGTTCAAAGAAACTAAAAACAGCCAAAAGCAACACATGACACATATTCAGTTACATTAAATAAGAGAACAACGAAAGACGACCCTTCAAACAAACAGACAAGACAGTGAAACAGAAGCCCTAATTTGAACGTCAGCTTTCATATATTATTTTCAGATACATGCCCGAGCGCGCTTGGAAGTTCATCTGATCACATAGAATCCTTCCGACGCCTGTTGTTGTTCAGCCAAACGATGAACACTGGCTTGGTAATTCCAAGTTCCTAGCAAAACTATTGTACCTCAGCATCATCGTGTCTCTGGGTCCTCCACCCTAACTTATCAGCAAACCGCATCATTTTGGTCTTCTGCTCCATCGTAAGCTTAGTTCTTTTTGCTCTCTTCTTCGTGTTTTTTTCCTCTTCAATCTCTGCTTCACTCAGTGTTTCGGACCCTGCATCAATATTTCGGTCCCTATTGAATAAAGAAGTCTCACCAGTGAGTCCATTGTGGGATGCTAAAGGCAGGGGTGCCACCAATGGTCTTTGAGGCGGCATTGGTTGAGGCAGAGGTTGAGCAGTAACGTTGTTGTAGTTGTTAGGGGGATCTTTGCGGTGGAAGCTGCGATGACAGCCGCATGCAGCGCACATGAATACGTCGTCATTGCAACAAATGAACTCACCACAACCATCAAAAGCATATCGGCCAAAGGAAGCTGCATGGTTGCGCCTGCATTCTTTGTACCTGCAGATTCTCTCAGTACTCTGATCTCTGGCACAAGGCTGCAGCATCTTTGGACCGAAATTGGTTCAACCTCTACTGCAGCCTCAACTTTGATCTCACCATTGCTTGTTTCTCCTTCCATGAGAGCGTTTGTTAGTGATTGTCTGAGACAGTGAGAGAGGTGATAATCAGCACGGGTTGTGTGATAGCTAGGCAAGTGAAACGGCTCTTAAATTTGGTGAGAATTGCATCATGGGAATCGCCAGTTGTAAGGTGATTAAGCTGGATGATTGACAGGTTTGTATGTTTGAGTTCAGACGTGTCCTGAAATAAGTAATGGTAATTAAGGTGTTCTCTTTTGCGTTGTATCTTTCTGCATTATGCTTTGTAAACACATCTTTTTGTGTGATTATCACATCATCTCTGAAACAAACGACAAAAGAAAACCTGCATCCCACTTTCCTAGAGTTAAATTAAATTAAAGACGTTCTAAAATTCACTCTTCTTGTTTAACTAAGCTGCAGCCATGCAAGCTCAAATTTGGTTGAATCGAGGCCACGTAGATGGTAGATTCAAATGCTTCTCCTAGAACATATAACATGGAAATCTAGCTTGTTTCGATTATGTATGCCAATCAGGTTTCGGACATTAAAATTTAAGTTAATTAAATCAGAGTGGAACTGTTGAAGAAATTTCTTCCAGGTTAGCAATCGTGAAACATGTCCACGACAAAGATTTCCTTCAATCCATACTTCATACACGACAAAGCTGTGTTGTATTTATGCATGCACGAACGAGCGCAGTAGCCATATCGGGTTCTTGCAAGGGAAAGCTTATATGGCTCGTGTATATAGCAGTGTCCTTTGAGGGTTTATTCACGGAGTACGTAATGAACAAGGACCTAATTATATTATGGGGCTTGGACTGCCATAAAATGAAGTCTCCAGTTTGACTTTCTTTTGATCACAGATCTAAATGGTGTAAGTTATGTTTGGGCCTTACAATTTTGCTTGTCTGAGTTGCAAGGCCCCAGCCTGATGTCCAGTTTCTGACTACAAGCCTGAAGCCTATAGGTAACTCAAGCCTACTCTAAGAATATCAACCCACAATTAGATGGGCTTTTTCTCCAGTAAACTGCGTCTGATAACAAATTTGGGTTTCGCGAAACCATATGTGAACTATGGGGAATACTGAACAGGGGCCACTGGTTCACCCTAACAACTATATGTGCGTTTGTCAAGGCCAGACTTTTTGTGGTCCTTTTCATCATTTTTCGTCTAATTTTTCTTTATCATGACGATGAGGTTGATCTATGGTATTTGTTTGGCATCCGTTTGAAGGATGCATTTTTTAAAGAAATAGTAGTTATTGTTTTACATTAAATTGTAAATTAGAAACTTTATATTTTTTCAGTTAGATATGTTGCTTTCTAACTTCCATAGCTAGCTAGGGTCGTTTGATAATTATGGAGAGTTTTAATCCCTTGTATGGATTTCGAGTTTGAAAAAAAATTTTGTATTAAATTTAAATTTAAATTTAATAGATTTATATAATTATTTTTAAAAAATAACATTTAAAAAATTTAGAATTCAAATTTTAATACTAATAATTGCTTATCATATATACAAAAAATAATAAATACAATTATGAATAAACAAGCTTTATAATTTACTGTAGCAGTGGTTAACTTTCTTCATTTAATATATATCTATAAAAATTGAGTTATCTCAACGAGTAAACTGTAAACAGCTTGTCTACAAACTTTTAAAAAGTTGGAAATTGAGTATCCAAGCTTTGACTATAGGGATTACCTAAAGTCTAATCTTTCAACATTGTTTTGAATTCAGTTGGGCCTATTCACACAACAATTTGCAGCCGTTCATAAGTTCTTCCAAGACATGTGATCTCATATTATCAGCGAGGCTAGCGATCCTAAAGCATCAGATATGAAAAATCCCTGGAATCAATTATGAAAGTTTGCATCAAATTTCTCTCTTGTTGGTGTGGTCCTATTTTTTTAGTCTATGAACAGAAGGAAGATGAACGTATTTTTTATTTTGGATCCACATATGTGTTTGACTATTTGACATTATCAGAGAAGATAAATAAACCCTAAAACCCTTTATGCCAAGTTAATATCTCAATTGTCATAATGACACCCTTTTTTTTTTTTTCAGGGCAGGGAAAGTTATAACCCTTATAAGGAGAAAAAGAGGAGGAGTTTTGGCTCAAAACCAGAACTTCTATGTCTTCATAAAGCCTTCTTAGCACTTGATCGAGAGGATAATGCGACCTGTGATTTGTCACATTATACATTTTATTTGATAAATTCATCGAAACATTTTTAGTAGTCTGATGGATCAAATTAGACAACACGACATAATGCACCAGAAAAAAGAGCCCTGGAGCCCCATGGTGCATGGAAATGAAAGAGAACATTGCTAAATCTTTTATTGGCTGGAAACAAAGAAAAAAACCTTAATACCTAAAGCAAACAACTAGGACGTCTAAAACTGAAGGATGATTATCAAGCTCCTTACCTCACTTTGATTCTATAGGAGTCCTCACCCTCTTCTTTGGAATAAAGAGTGACTATAGCTGTAACCCTGGGTTTAACAAAATCCCTCCACTCAGAACCGGTGATGGAGAACATGTTGCCTTCTTCACTCGTGCATTTAAAGTTCCACCATTTAGACCCATCTGTAACCTTCAAAACACTTGAACCATCAGGTAGTGCATTGCCACGATAACGGAACCTCAACCCTGCTTCATTGTTAGCTACAAGTTGAACTTTCATGATCTCCGCCATTTCTGCAGCTCCCCAAATATATAATAGAATGCTTCACAAAA